GGGGACTCGATTAAAAAAATTAATCTAATTAATTAGAGGCTTTGTAATTAATTAATCGAAATTAATCGCATTTTTAATCACATATAAATATTTGACCTGAGAACACTGAGAAGCAATTTTTTTCACATGGATTTTAGTATACCATTGAATAATGACTGAATACATAAGCTTAAGCAACAAAACATTGTTTATTTTTTTCAAGGTGGTACTTATCCAAGACCAACAGAAAAGTGCAATTTTTGCCATAAAGTGTAGCAATAGCATATTTAGGAATATAGTACATTTCAGAGATTCAGGTAGCCTATAGGTAGGTAGACCTTCTGTAAACTATAACACTTTGTTTTTGAAGTATAACACAATACTTTCAAGTACATTCAGAACATTGGAAACCCTGACTATTAGAAAACATCTCTCTGTTGCTTCAGAGGCCATAACAGACTTTGTTGATTTACCAACAGTTGATTTAAAAAATCTAATCAATTTCAGTCCAACTCTCTCAATAACCTTGGCCAAAACAATAAACAGTTCAACATAAAGTGCCAGTTGCACCAATAACGTAATAAATAGTTCAACATAAAGTGTACCATTTAAAATAAAATAAAAAAGTGCCAGTGATTGACCTCAATCCCTCCTATTCTTCCAATATCCTGATGAAAAACTAAATCTCTCTAGTTGCATAGGCCACTGTTTGATCAACGCGAATTGGGTGTGGGTCCTTGTACTCCGAGTCGGGCTAACGTCCACGCTAGCTTCCACGCTAGCTGCTATATGTTTTGCATTGAGGTGATACTTGAGGCTTGATGTGCTGCGGTGATATGCGAATTCCTTTTTGCATAATTTGCAAACAACCGTGCTCTTATTGACGCTTCCATCCGTCCGTTTTTTAAAACAAAATGTCCCATTCACGGGGCCAACCAAAGCGGTCTCATCAGCTTCTTCGTTCATGTTTGACAATTGTTCACTGTGGTTTGTTGTTGTCTGAAGTCATGAACGTTAGTTGGTGCTCCAGTATAATCGGTAACCCGGAAACTCATCCAGTGAGAAACGTTCCGCGGTGACAAAAATAAGTTCGATTAAAATGTGTTAATTTTTTAACGCGTTAATTTTTGTTTAATTAATTAATCTTAATTAACGCGTTAAAGTCCCGGCCCTAGTAATAACAATAATATAGTATTAAAACATGTTGCTTGCATAAATGTAGCATGAATAATAGAAACAAAGATTGTCTGTAAAGTGTAAAAGAATGTAACTTTGACAAAATGGCTTATGTCTTTTCAGATTTAGAGCAACTTTTATACACACAATATGATGATAAAAAATCATGCAACTGGAGGAATGCAAGTGGGTTATGGGTAAAATGTTTGTAGACTGCAGTGTCAGCTGCATGAAATACAGTTATTGCGTTTGCAGCAAATATTAAATCATCTTTTCACATTACTGTCTCCTCGGTCCAGATGTGATGTTTGTTCTACAGTTACCTGTAATGTAAATGTAAACTATGCTTGTAAAGTAATGCAAATATTTCCTGTGTAATGATACATGTGGGCTGTACATGTTTTTTCCCATTCATCTACCAAATAACTATTATTGTTTTTTCCTGCTGTAGCTTCATGTGGGTGCAGGCGGTGTGGGTTGGTTTGTGGGTGTTATTTTACAGAATTGCTGGGGGACTTCACCCTTTACAGCTAAACACCCCAGACCCCCCCTGTCAGATTAAGCAATTATTTTTCATTAAGACAAGTTCAGGCACGATATTGCTTTCTTATGACATGCGACATTTAACAAGGGAACATTCCAGTTTATCAAAAGGCCTGTGTTTTAGCTTTATGGACTTTGTGAGTGTTTGGGTCACAACATTTAAATAAATCAATATATGGAAAATATTCCTTTTAACAGCAGTAAATATAAAAAAATAGGAATACACAATTTCTTACCATTGTAATGGCAAAACAATTCTTAAAACTATAAAATAAATATTAGATCAGATTACAGACATATAGAAAAGTAATCGAAAGTAAAAGTAGTCATTGTGAAGAATAATATATATGATATGTTTTACAATAATTGATCATTGAAGTGTTATCAAAGCTGGTAAAGGTATAGCTAGTTTTAATGACTTTGTAAAACTACTCATTAAAGTAATGCAGGGCAGCTTGTAAATTTACTCCAGGTGGAACTAAAGTCTGATTTAAGAGTTGATTATATTTCACATCATTCATCCACATCTGTAAAGTAACTAGAGGTGTTAAATAAATGTAGTGGAGTAAAAGTACATGATTTACCAATTAAGTACAAAATTGTACTTGAGTAAATGTACTTACAGTAGTGACTTTACATCACTAGATGTAGTGGTACACTGTGTACACTATATACCTACTCTTAATGTTCATTTTGCCATAGTACTGTAAAATTGCACACAGATATTCATTGGAATCGACAATAACTACCAACTAGTTAGTTAGTTAGTAAGCTCCAGTTGCTAGTTCTAAACACAACTTTCTGACTGTTATAAATGCACTGCATTGTGCCTGACATTTCTGCTGAATGCTGTTTTTTTAATCAAAACAAAGTAACGGTAAAGACATCAACCAAGGAACAGTGCAATTTAAACAGCCCTACTGTGGCCAAGGAACCATTATGGGATCCTGCTAAATGCTCAAATGTATTGTAAAGTAGCACAAGTGAAGAAGAGGTATACATGCAGTGGAATATTTTCCTAAAGTTTCTTTAGCTCACATTAGCCACCATCATTTACTGGTCGATCAGTTAGGCTGCAGCATCAATATCCCTGGATGTAATAAACTGAAAAACTTGTTGTTGCTTATAAAAAGGTACAAGTTCTTCTTTTGTGATTATGTTATATGAAAAGTATAATATATATGTATTAGCATAATTTTTGACGTTTCATGACTTCCTTTTCTCGACCATTGTAGTTTTTTAGCAGAAATGTAAAGCCATCATGTGTAAAATATCGAGATCTTGAGGAAATATGGCTTCCTCTAGTCTAGAGGCAGTATGAGTAATTACACTGTAGCTCACTGCTGTGCACCCTAACCCCGGCCATACACAAACATGGGGGACACTGAGATACATTCAACCCAAAACACGTTAAAACAAGTTATTATCAAATGTTTCATTTTGTTTTGTTGCTGTTATCTGACTATACTTGTGAACTCTTTTATATACAATTATTTATTTCTGCTGATCAAAGATTTAAGTTCCATTTCCTGCAGCTACAACTGAAACCTCATACCATTTTAGCTAAGGTTCTGTAGTAATCTTCCTTTTTACTGTAGGTCCTTTCTGTTCAAAGGAAAGCCACATTCATCAAGTGAGCACCAACCTTCGCCCTCTCTATACAGCACCTGGTGAACCCTTTAAATCAATGGCATGTTGGGTTCTAAAGAGCCCTTTCCACAGGGGACATCGATACAAAGGAAAGAAATATGACCGCATTCATGAAATTATATGACTTAGGGAAGGACTGGGTGTGCATATACTGCCTCAGGGTATGGTTTAATGTCATGTAAAACCACCTTTTCATGCTCATAGTCTTTGATATTAAACACAGCATAACATTCAGTCAAAAAACGTTGTATATAGCGTAAACCATCTTGTTTTTTGTTGTCTTTTTTGCAACAGATAGCGTTGGATGGACAATCTAAAAACATCCACGTCTGTCGGCTCTGGTGGAGGTGGGGTTGGCAGAGGTGTTGGAGGAAGTAGCAAAGGTAAAATCTGAGAGGTGTAGGCTTTCTATGCGGCATAAACTTTCTTTATTTTGTATTTTCAACAAATGTATTATAACCTAACACAGGCTTAAATTAGCTGTAGAATGTCTTACTGTATGTTATTACAAATGGAGGACCAATAATTACACACAATGAGGTGTGTGTCTCAGAATTTTGGATCGAAAGATATCTTATAACATGCTGTAGTTTCTCAAAAAAAAAGACTAGTTCCAATGAGAACAGTTCATAGTGAACACTTCAAATGCCAAATCAAAAACATAACTTTTCGTAATTATTTATAATTAACCATTCTTTTATTTTGTTTACAGTGGTCACAAAATCAGTGACGACTACTAGACTGACATCGCAAAGTAAGCTGTGCCTTTCTTCGCATCTATCAAACACATCATGATTTATACACATATTGAACTTTTAGATTATACACTGAATTGATTATTCATTGTAATAAAAGATAGATTGTACAGTTGTAGCTACACTCAACACTTTCTTATGTTACGAATTTACCAAAATTACCGTTTTTTTGTTATGTAAAAGGGGGGAAACCAAAAGAAAACGATCACTAAGCAGTCCATCCCAATTAGCTTTATTGGATTTTAAGTGTCTTTTAGGTTATTTTCTTTTAGTTTTTCCGGCTCTAACAGTTCAGTCTCACATCTCTTGTTGGCTTTGTTTCAAGATGCAGCAGGTGACTTTAATCAAGTTTAAAAAAACAAAACCTATCTATGATACTTTCTAGACAAAATAATCAGCTAGCTTGTGAACATTTGGCGGATCCTTTAGCAGCTAGCTTGTTTACATTTTGATGATCTTTTTGCAGAGCTTGTGAACATTTAGCTGAACATTTAGCAGAACTTGTGGACGTTTGGCTGATCTTTTAGCAGCTAGCTTGTTTATATTTAGCTTATCATTTAGCAGCTAGCTTGTGAACATTTATCTGATCATTTAGCTGCTAGCTTGTGAAAATGTGGCTGATAATTTAGCCTGACATATTTCTTTGTGGTAAATAGAAAATAAATCTGAGCTAAAGCTAGATTACATTTGATACATTTGGTAGCCAAAATCAAAATGTTGCATCTGCAGGATGTGTAAATAACCAATATATTGCTTCAAGCTATACAGGTTGATCATAATGAAGCTATGTTTACAGATTGTTTTGCTGCCTACTTGTGGCCAAAACACTATAACAATACATGTATGCAGCTTTAATGTACCTTGTGGTTTGCCACTAGAAAGAGCTAGAGGCCTCCAAGCCTCTTAGCAAACAGCTTATTATTTTTATTAGACATTAAATGTCATTACCTCCTTCAGCAGAAAGGATGTTATGTGCGTGTCAATCAATCTTATAAGAGTGGAAGGATGTCATGGTTGAGAGTAATAGGGCATGTTCAGTCATGCCAGGCAAGCAGATGCTTACTTTAGGAATGTTCTTTTATGAAACCACCAAAAAAAAAGAAGAATAGTAGAATTTTCGAATATATGGGCTTTGCCTGTGCAGTCTTGTATTTTAAACTGGATTGAGGCAAATAATAAATTAACCATCCTTAGCCCCCGCAGACTTCTGAGTGCTTGATGATGCATTTGATAAGATTTAACCTTTTAGAGCTGAGATGAAAACCCAATGTACTATTTATGATGAAGTGGCAACTCATCTCTTCCAATTTTTTGATTTCCTGTCTTCTCCCAGAGGATCTCTCTATGAGTGCAGGAGAGTCAGGTGAGAAAGCTGCATCAGGAAGCTCCGGAGGAATCCTGATCGCATCCAGCAGCTACAACGCCGCTGGCTCAGGTGGATACGGCTCTAGTGGAACAAGCAGCTCAGGCCGGATCACATCCAGCAGCTCCAATGCCACCAGCTCAGGTGGATACGGCTCTGGCGGGACAAGCAACTCAGGGTTAATCACATCCAGCAGCTCCAATGCAGCCAGCATCGGTGGATATGCTTCTGGAGAAACAAGCAGTTCAGTCCTGACCACATCCAGCAACTCCAGCGCTGCCAGCTCCAGTGGGTACGGCTCGGGCGGAATAAGCAGCTCAGGCTTGACCACCTCTGCCAGCTCCAATGCCACCAGCTCCGGTGGATACGGAACCAGCAAGGCCGCAGGAGGCATCAGTGTCACTACTCTAGGGGCATCCTGTGCTGTATCCTCAGGGGTTGGAAGTTCAGTGACTTCAGGGGGCTCAGGGGCAGCAACAAAGGGAGCTGCTGGAGCGGTGGGGTTCAGGGCCACTGGAAAGGGATCCTCTGGCATGTCTTCTGGTTTCGTGAGTGGGGGCAGAGATGGAAAAAGAGACGGGGGTCTGGGAGCCGTCACAGTTTCAACAGTGACGAAGAACAGTTACAGTTCAGGAGGGTCTGGGGAGGCAAAGAGAGGATCGTCATCAGCAGTCACTTATTCACCTGTTCCAAAAGAGAAGAAGGGCACTACCACCATGGCAGCAGCTGTCTCAGATGTCTTCTATGGTTAGTCAAAAGTCAAGGGTCAATAAATGAATGCTGCTTTACTGAACTGTTGGGTTGTTTTCGCATTGTTTGCTGTTTGAAACAAGGCCCTCACATAACTACTTCTGGAAGAAGGATAATATGGTCAATTTTCTCTTGTTATGTTTCAGAAAGTTCAAGCACAAACTCCTCTCCAGAGTACAAAAGGAAGGAGTACGGTAAGGTTCACTTAATTAAGGCCCGAGCCGGTTTTTCAGGCCTCAGGCTCGAAAATGACATTCCCAGAACAAATGACCATAACTTGACTTCTAAAACGGGTAAATTAATCATCTTTTTCCTCAAAGCAATGATAAACCTGTGAGTTGGATGTAGAAAAGTCAGAATCAATATAGAATCTTTTTATTTTAAAGTAAATTCAGATTGAACATAGTAAAACAATGTAAATTATAGTGTCCGTCCAAATGAAAACATTACTTATAGTGAAAACCACCCTTGAATGATGGGATAGTAGACTAAAAGCTTTAGGAATCCAAACTATAACAAATAATAAGTACCCTTTATCAAGATTGATGCAAAACAAGTGACATTTGACCTTTTTAGAGAGGTTTAGGAAAAAAACATTTGGGTGGATTTGCCATATCTCTGGAACCCATTGGTCGATTTTGGTGATTGACACCTCTTTTGAACCGTTAGAGCCAATATAATCTAGGGGAAGTTCCTAAATCCATCTACACCTTACCATTGAGGAGTGAGAGTGATGCGCACGCAGTTTGCCCAAACCAAAAGCTACGTTACACTCTGAAAACTGAAAACTAGGTTTATTGACATAAATATTATGATGGATTATCAGTAATCATTTC